GCCCCGCTCCCTGCAGAGCCCCCATTGCGGAGAAGCTTCCCAGCTCCCGCCGTAGCACGCGCGCCCCGGGCCCGGCCCCGCTCTCACCCCCGGCCCGGCCGCGCCGCCTCTCTTCTCCTGCCGCCGACTGAGCCGGAGCCAGAAAGTCCCGGGCTTCACCTCCTCCCAGCGCAGCCCAGCAGCTCCACCAGTTGAGTGCTGCTGCCGCTAAGCCATGCCAGGGCGACTCGCCGCGCATCCATGGGCTTCCCCGGCCCCGTGTCCGCCGGGGGGGAGGGGGATGCTGAAAAAGAAACCCCCGCTTCGCCCCCGCTGCCGCTCAGCAAGCGAGCCGCCAGCGCCGCCGCCAACCCGTTCCCAAGCTGCCGCAGCAAAGCCTCAGCCCAGGTCCCCCAGCCCGAGAGCCTCGAGGAGAGGTGGAGCAAAGGGGCCGCCTGCGCCGGGGAAGAGCCGAGACCCCACCCCGGCAACGGAACGGGCGGGGGGCTGCAAACACCCACCCGCTAACCCGGGAGGTCAGCCGCGTGCCTGGGCTGCAAAGTGCAGGGCAGCAGGGCTTCGGCACTCGGGTTGCCGGGGTGAGTGCGGTTAGGCGCGCAAACGTGATTCACAAATTAAATCCAAGGTGTGAAAAAGCCGCCTACCTTGTTACGGGCTTCCTGAGCGATTTGCAACCGAGGAACTGCTCTGCTACTTTCCTGCAGTTCAAAAAAGGAGGAGTGCAAGCTTAGGGCTGGGGGGTGCCTACCGTCTACAAAGGTTGAGAACTCCTGGGTGCAGCCGCACAGTGCCGCAGCAAGAGGGGCGATGAGCAGGGCGACCAAAGCGAAGGGGCACCAGCAGGCGCTGCCCAGTCGGGCTGGGATGGAAGCAGAGTGGCTCTTGGGGGTGGGGCAGGCATGAGCCCGCTGGATCTGCGCGCTGGAAGAGCTGCTGCTGCGGGCTTTGCCCTGAGCAACCAAGTTTGGCGCCACAGCACTGCCTCTACAAGATGCTTACTGTGCATTAGCCTAATAAACACTGCATGCTAGCATGTCAGCAAAAAACCATGCTCATAGCCTACTGTGCAGTATTAGACTAATGCACAGCAAGCATCAGTAAATAACAGCACACAGGTGCTACTGTGCATAACTTCAGGTACTGCACATTTAGTCAGTACTTTATTAAGGAAGTACTAAATTAAATGCATAGTATGGAAGGTACATTAATGAACGTGTAGATGCACCCACTGTCAGAGTATATACTGCCTCCTCTCTGCTGTAATGCCTTACTGTTATTTGGACTGAAATAACACCTAGAGGCCAAGAACCCACAGTGCGACTGTATAACATGAGAAAGCCTTCTAAGTTTTTTTTACTATCCCATTTTTTTTCTATTACCCATTTAGGAAAATGACTAATGCTGTCAAAAGTTCCATTTAGCCTTTGAGACACTGCAATAGAGTGAAGGCCAAAAGCAAGAACAGAAATGGTATGTCAGACAGGGAGAGGTTACAAAGAGCTATAATAATAGCAGCAGCAGCAACAAACAACAGTAATTTATTTCCCTTTAAAGTCACATGTGCTGTTCTAGTCCTCCTGAAAAACAGAGCCTCATTTGATTTTTCTTTCCATTTAGCCAAAATATTTTGTCATTTGCAGGAGAGAAACAGACTGCCTCAATATTATGGGATCTGCATACACATGGGTGTTTCCAAAAGTAATGGCAATTTTTTAAATAAAACCATAGTGTGTGCAATGAGTGGGACATGACACAGCAGCAGGGAACACTGATGGCAGCACTGCCAAATGCCCGCATCATTTGTGACTGAGTAGGGAAGTGTTGTGGTCCAGTAAGTGATCATTACATGCAAAGTGGTATTCTTTCAATATTGCTGTTACTTTCTGAAACACACACGCATACAAACAAACACATGAGTGGGCAAACCAGTTTTGAAAAACAAAAAGAACCTCCTGCACCTGACCTGTCACCCATTTCCAGGGCTGAACCTGTCTCTACGTTCCTGAAATGGTTGACTTGTTTATTTTCTCTTTTACACGCACCTTTGTGCTTCCGGACTGTAGTTGGAATCAGAAATGCTGAAATTAATGCAAGGAAAGCTGGAAATCTTGCAAAAAAAGCTAATTCATGTTCTCCAACTCACTTTTGTGATTCTGTGTTCATGATTACCCCATATACATCTCAAATTTTAAAATGTGGCATTGACTTTGCTAGCCAAACAACTAGATCATCTCTCTCAAACCTGCAGTCCCCACATCAGTGGAGGTACTTCACTCACTCCTATTGGCATACTCCTCAGTTTTCCCATCCGCCCACACACTGGACACAAAGGAAGCAAGGCAATGACCAAAAGGAGTGGAGCAGATATGCCATTATAGGCAATACATGAAAAACTCTTCCATGCTGCAAAAAGCATGGGAGACTTTAAGCAGGGAGAAGAGAGAGAAGAGAAAACAGAGAGAGAGGAAGAAAAAAGATTGGGGGGGGGGGGGGGAGAATAGAAATGGAATGGAAAAAGAGATGTAGGTAGATACAGAAAGGAACTAAGAGGAAAGACTGACATAAAGGGAAATACTCAAGACTGAGAAGAGGGAGAACGATATACTGCACTATAGCACTGTGAGAGTTGGTTCTCCTTGAGCTATATAGGTAATTAGACGTCTGCATGACAACTGGCAGGTAAAAATCAAGGATTTTGCATTGAAATAGGCTAAATATAATAGTCCTAATGAAATTGTGCAAGCCCCTCCCCTTATCTTTTTTTTTTTTTGGTGAACATTTATGATGCTTATCCGCTGAAAATATAGGACTAATCTCCTTAGGAAAGGAGACCAATTGGTTTGACCTGCAGAACTGCTATGAATCAGCAGCCACAGACACTATTCATTACCAATTTGAGCTATAAGAAAGAAGGATGACAGGGTTTTTTTTCCCTCATTAGATTTTCTGACTAGTCTTTTCTGAGGGGATTACTTCAGACATCATTCACTGACTCCCAATTATAACAGACCTCATTATAACAACACTTAACAAAAACACTCAAATTCTCAGCTAACACTGGCAATGTTATTATGGAGCAGAAGTATATTTGACAAGGCATTGTTTGGGGTGGTCAGCTATACCAGCAGCAGATAGCAATTATCTAAATCTTCTATCACTGCTAGGGTAAACAGACAAAACCACAAACATGTTCTAGACTCATGGCAAAGTTCACAGCATGCTCTCACCTCCATGACCTCAGAGTGTTGAGGTCCACACATCCTCCTTCAGTTCCTTCAGATACTGTGTATGTTAGTGTAGGAGTTTCCAGTAATCACCAGGGATCCTAGTTTTCCATGAGAAAAAAGCAAAAAACAACTGTTTAAAACCCCCCCACAAAAATCTGTGTTTTTTTGCAACCTACTAAAAATGCAGCAACATCCCGCGGATTGTGCCACCATT